AGCTTCTGTTCTACCATCTCAAAGCTCCCCGCTTAGAATCATAGAATCAAAGAGTTGGAAGAGACCTCATGGGCCATCCAGTCAACCCCCTGCCAAGAAGCAGGAATATTGCATTCAAATCACCCCTGACAGATGGCCATCCAGCCCCTGTTTAAAAGCTTCCAAATACGGAGCCTCCACCACACTCTGGGGCAGAGAGTTCCACTGCTTGGGTGGTGATGGCACGATCATCAGCATAGATGAAACTCTCTGTCCCTTCTGGCAGTGGCTGGTCATTTGTGTAGATGTTGAACATGGATGGAGCAAGCACGCTCCCCTGAGGCAGGCCGTTCTTCTGTTTCCACCATCTGCTTCTCTGGCCCTGGAACTCAACAAAAAAAGCTCCTGTTTTGTATATAGTGTGTACACACTTGCTCTGCAATACAGATGCACTCTCACCATTCAATGCTATGGAATCCTGGGGGACCACACACACACACACATGCTCTGCAATATAGATGCACTCCCACCATTCACACACACACACACATATATGTGTATGTGTGTGTGTACACACTTGCTCTGCAATACAGATGCACTCTCACCATTCAATGCTATGGAATCCTGGGGGACCACACACACACATGCTCTGCAATATAGATGCAGTCCCACCATTCACACATACACACACACACATATATATGTATGTATATATGTGTGTACACACTTGCTCTGCAATACAGATGCACTCTCACCATTCAATGCTATGGAATCCTGGGGGACCACACACACATGCTCTGCAATATAGATTCACTCCCACCATTCACACATACACACACACACACACATATATGTATGTATATATGTGTGTACACACTTGCTCTGCAATACAGATGCACTCTCACCATTCAGTGCTATGGAATTCTGGGGGATGCAGTTTTGGGGCAGCCCCAGCCCTTTCATTCACACACACACACACACACACACACACACACATGCTCTGCAATATAGATTCACTCCCACCATTCACACACACACACATATATGTATGTATATATGTGTGTACACACTTGCTCTGCAATACAGATGCACTCTCACCATTCAATGCTATGGAATCCTGGGGGACCACACACACACATGCTCTGCAATATAGATTCACTCCCACCATTCACACACACACATATATATGTATGTATATATGTGTGTACACACTTGCTCTGCAATACAGATGCACTCTCACCATTCAGTGCTATGGAATCCTGGGGGACCACACACACATGCGTGTACACACTTGCTCTGCAATACAGATGCACTCTCACCATTCAATGCTATGGAATCCTGGGGGACCACACACACATGCTCTGCAATATAGATTCACTCCCACCATTCACACACACACATATATATGTATGTATATATGTGTGTACACACTTGCTCTGCAATACAGATGCACTCTCACCATTCAGTGCTATGGAATCCTGGGGGACCACACACACACATGCTCTGCAATATAGATTCACTCCCACCATTCACACACACACATATATATGTATGTATATATGTGTGTACACACTTGCTCTGCAATACAGATGCACTCTCACCATTCAGTGCTATGGAATCCTGGGGGACCACACACACATGCGTGTACACACTTGCTCTGCAATACAGATGCACTCTCACCATTCAATGCTATGGAATCCTGGGGGTTGTAGTTTTGGGGCAGCCCCAGCCCTTTCATTCACACACACACACACATGCTCTGCAATATAGATTCACTCCCACCATTCACACACACACATATATATGTATGTATATATGTGTGTACACACTTGCTCTGCAATACAGATGCACTCTCACCATTCAATGCTATGGAATCCTGGGGGACCACACACACACATGCTCTGCAATATAGATTCACTCCCACCATTCACACACACACATATATATGTATGTATATATGTGTGTACACACTTGCTCTGCAATACAGATGCACTCTCACCATTCAATGCTATGGAATCCTGGGGGACCACACACACACATGCTCTGCAATATAGATTCACTCCCACCATTCACACACACACATATATATGTATGTATATATGTGTGTACACACTTGCTCTGCAATACAGATGCACTCTCACCATTCAGTGCTATGGAATCCTGGGGGACCACACACACATGCGTGTACACACTTGCTCTGCAATACAGATGCACTCTCACCATTCAATGCTATGGAATCCTGGGGGTTGTAGTTTTGGGGCAGCCCCAGCCCTTTCATCTAGAGAAGGGCTGAATAAAAAAGACCTTGCAAAACTGCAACTCCCAGGATCCACGGTGGATGGAGGCCTGGCGCAGATGCAAACAAGGACGTTTTGCTTTTGCTCCAACTGCTGGGTGTCTCGATTGAATGGGGAAGTGGGAGGAGCCGCCAAGCCCCGCCCCTTTCCCCGGGCCTGAGAGAGCAGTGGGCGGGGCTTGGCGAGCCGCCAAGCCCCGCCCACTGCTCGCTCAGGCCCGGGGAAAGGGGCGGGGCTTGGCGTCTCCCTCGGCGCGTCCCCGGCCAAGGATGCGGCTGCGTTTCCCGCGGGCGGGGCTGTCGCTGCTGCTGCTGCTGGAAATCGGGGTGCGCACGCTGCTCCTGGGGCTCTTCCTGGATTGGTAAGTGCTTTGGGGGGTGTCGGGGGGTGTTCTCCTCGGCCCTGGGGACCCCTAAGGCGCAGAAAGACCCTGCATGGAGGCACCTCCAGGATGCACCGCCCACTGTATTGCTTCCAGGTGCAGCCTTGGCATTGTTTACCATTTTGCAAATCTTTGCATTGGTTGACCCCCTTGCCATTGGCCCCGGTTGTGCCCTCCCCCCCGGCCGGGAAACGCAACCCCCCCCCCCGTCCCTTGCGTTAAACAAACACGTGTCATTCTTCCGGGAACAATGGGAAATCAGGTTGCATCCGCACTGTGGAATTTAACCCGTTTTGGACTTCATCAAACTGCAAAGGATCCCAGAGCATTAAGAAAAGGCCATTAAAATAGTAGTGTCAACAACTTGCATTCATTCTCCCATAGGGATTGGTAGGTGCCGGATAATTGGGAGTTTCCGGTTGCTTGAGAGTTAATATTAAAATATATATACCATATGTTCTGCAGTCAAACTGCATTCATTCATTCATTCTCCCAAAGGGATTGGTAGGTGCCGGATAAGTGGGAGTTTCTGGTTGCTTGAGCGGTAATATTTAAAATATACCATATGTTCTGCAGTCAAACTGCATTCATTCATTCTCATAGGGATTGGTAGGTGCCGGATAAGTGGGAGTTCTGGTTGCTTGAGAGGTAATGTTTAAAATATACCATATGTTCTGCAATCAAGGTGCATTCATTCATTCTCACATAGGGATTGGTATGTGCCGGATAAGTGGGAGTTTCTGGTTGCTTGAGAGTTAATATTAAAATATTTATACCATATGTTCTGCAGTCAAACTGCATTCATTCTTCTCCAATAGGGATTGGTAGGTGCCAGATAAGTGGGAGTTTTTGGTTGTTTGAGAGGTAATGTTTAAAATATACCATATGTTCTGCAGTCTGTGCATTCATTCTTCTCCCATAGGGATTGGTTAGTGCTGGATAAGTGGGAGTTTCTGGTTGCTTGAGAGTTACTCTTTTAAAATAACCCCACACTATAACTTAAAGTCCACAAACTGCATTCATCCCTCTCCCATAGGGATTGGTAGGTGCCGGATAAGTGGGAGTTTCCATTTGCTTGAGAGTTGTGTTTAGAAAATAACTCCATACTATACCATAAACTCTGCAGCCAAACTGCATTCATTCTTCTCCCTTAAAGAATTGTAAGTGCTGGGATAAGTGGGAGTTTCTGGTTGCTTGAGAGTTATGATTAAAAAATATACCATATGTTCTGCAGTCAAACTGCATTCATTCTCCCAAAAGGATTGGTTGGTGCTGGATAAGTGGGAGATTCTGGTTGCTTGAGAGTTAATATTAAAAATATACCATATGTTCTGCAGACTGCATTCATTCTTCTCCCATAGGGATTGGTTGGTGCCGGATAAGTGGGAGCTTCCATTTGCTTGAGAATTACCATTTAAAAAATAATCCCCGTAGTATACCATAAACTCTGCAGCCAAACTCCATTCATTTTTCTCCCATAGGGATTGGTAGGTGCCGGATAAGTGGGAGTTTCTGGTTGCTTGAGAGTTACTGTCTGAAAAATAACCCCCATATCTGAAAAATAACCCCCATGATATAATAAACTGCAGTCAAAACAGCATTCATTCTTCTCCCATAGGGATTGTTCGGTGCCGGATAAGAGGGAGTCTCTGGTTACTTGAGAGTTGCTATTAAAACTAACCCCACACTATAGCATGAACTGCAGTCAAACTGAATTTGTTCTTTGCCCATAAAGATTGGTAAGTGCTGGATAGGTGGGAGTTTCTGGTTGCTTGAGAGTTACTATCTGAAAAATAACCCCCATATCTGAAAAATAACCCCCCATGGTATCATAAACTGCAGTCAAAACAGCATTCATTCTTCTCCCATAGGGATTGTTAGGTGCCGGATAAGAGGGAGTCTCTGGTTACTTGAGAGTTGCTATTAAAACTAACCCCACACTATAGCATAAACTGCAGTCAAACTGCTTTTGTTCTTTGCCCATAAAGATTGGTAAGTGCTGGATAAGTGGGAGTTTCTGGTTGCTTGAGAGTTGCTATTAAAAAATAACCCCATATATACCATAAACTCTACAGTCACAGCTACATTCATTCTTCTCCCATAGGGATTGATAGGTGCCGGATAAGTGGGAGTTTCTGGTTGCTTGAGAGTTACCTAAAAAAAAGCCTAACTCATACTATATCATATACTCTGCATTGACTTGATATTGAATAATAAAATTAATACAAATACATATTTTTAATTTAAAGTATTTTTGGTCCATTTGTTTTGCTGCTTATGTTGCTTGTATATCTGTGCTGTTCTGCCTGATGATTCATCCACTGCAGTGATTCCCAAACTGTAGTCCTCCAGGTGCTTTGGACTTCATTTCCCAGAAGCCTCGGCTGCCTTGGCCAATGGGCAGGGATTCTGGGAGCTGAAGTCCAAAATGCATACAAGGCCAATGTTTGGTAAACGAAGCCTAGAGGATGCTCTACATCCGATGCATTGGCTGTGATGTCAGAGTTGGGAGGAAGCACCTCCAAATCAAGGAAGTGAGACGAGGAAAAGAAGCAGCTGGATTGGATTATATTCACAAAATTATAAAATTAAAAATTATATTCATATTAGCAAAGGTTCGGAGAATGGCAGTGGCTTCATCACAAAATACATCTTCATGACCACATTTAATATCAGTTGATTTTCTTCAAACTGTGTTGTTGAAGGCTTTTAATGTCCCGAATCGCTGGGTTGCTGTGAGTTTTCCGGGCTGTATGGCCATGTTCCGGAAGCATTCTCTCCTGACATTTCACCCACATCTATGGCAGGCTTCCTCAGAGGTTGTGAGGTCTGTTGGAAACGAGGCAAGTGGGGTTTATATATATATCTTATTTTTCAGATAGTAACTCTCAAGCAACCAGAAACTCCCACTTATCCGACACCTATCAATTCCTATGGGTTTATATATATCTTATTTTTCAGATAGTAACTCTCAAGCAACCAGAAACTCCCACTTATCCGGCACCTATCAATTCCTATGGGAGAAGAATGAATTTAGCTGTGACTGTAGAGTTTATGGTATAGATGGGGTTATTTTTTAATAGCAACTCTCAAGCAACCAGAAACTCCCACTTATCTGGCACCTATCAATTCCTATGGGAGAAGAATGAATTTAGCTGTGACTGTAGAGTTTATGGTATAGATTGGGTTATTTTTTAATAGCAATTCTCAAGCAACCAGAAACTCCCACTTATCCGGCACCTATCAATTCCTATGGGAGAAGAATGAATTTAGCTGTGACTGTAGAGTTTATGGTATAGATGGGGTTATTTTTTAATAGCAACTCTCAAGCAACCAGAAACTCCCACTTATCCGGCACTTACCAATCTTTATGGGAGAAGAACGAATGCAGTTTGACTGCAGAGTTTATGCTATAGTGTGGGGTTAGTTTTAATAGCAACTCTCAAGTAACCAGAGACTCCCTCTTATAATATATCTGTGGAATAATGTCCAGGGTGGATGTAAACACCGCGGATACGGAGAGCCGACTACATTATCAGTTACTGACATCGGACTCATTTAAGCCGTTGCCCTTGCGATTTCTATGCATGAGTTTGGAAGCTGGGTTGCTGTGAGTTTTCCAGGCTGCATGTATGGCCATGTTCCAGGAGCATTCTCTCCCGACGTTTCACCCACATCTATGGCAGGCTTCCTCAGAAGTTGTAATGACAAGTGGGTTTTGTATATCTGTGGAATGTCCGGGGTTGATGTAAACACCGCGGATACGGAGAGCCGACTACATTATCAGTTACTGATATCAGAATCATTTAAGCTGTTGCCCTTGCGATTTCTATGCATGTGTTTGAAAGCTGGGTTGCTGTGAGTTTTCCAGGCTGTTCTAGAAGCATTCTCTCATGACGTTTTGCCCACATTTATGGCAGGCATCCTCAGAGGTTGTGAGTTCTGTTGGAAACGAGGCAAGTGGGGTTTATCTATCTGTGGAATGTCCAGGGTGGATGTAAACACCGCGGATACGGAGAGCCGACTACATTATCAATTACTGACATCTGAATCATTTAAGCCATTGACCTTGCGATTTCTATGCATGTGTTTGAAAGTTGGGTTGTTGCGAGTTTTCCAGGCTGCATGTATGGCCATGTTCCAAGAGCATGTTGCTGTGAGTTTTCCAGGCTGCATGTTTGGCCATGTTCCAGAAGCATTCTCTCCTGACGTTTCACCTGCATCTACGGCAGGCTTCCTCAGAGGTTGTGAGGACAAGTGGGTTTTCTATTATCTGTGGAATGTCCAGTGTGGATGTAAACACCGCGGATACGGAGAGCCGTTACTGATATTGGAATCATTTAAGCCGTTGCCCTTACGATTTCTATGCATGGGTTTGAAAGCTGGGTTGCTGTGAGTTTTCCAGACTGCATGTATGGCCATGTTCTAGAAGCATTCTCTCCTGACATTTCACCCACATCTATGGCAGGCTTCCTCAGAGGTTGTGAGGTCTGTTGGAAACGAGACGAATGGGGTTTATATATCTGGAAAGGGTGGATGTAAACACAGCAAATCTAGGTTGCTGTGAGTTTTCCAGGCTGTTCCAGAAGCATTCTCTCATGACGTTTTGCCCACATCTATGGCAGGCATCCTCAGAGGTTGTGAGGTCTGTTGGAAACTAGGCAAGTGAGGTTTATCTATCTGGAATGTCCAGGGTGGATGTAAACACAGCGAATACGGAGAGCCGACTACATTATCAATTACTGACATCGGAATCATTTAAGCCTTTGCCCTTGCGATTTCTATGCATGCGTTTGAAAGCTGGGTTGCTCTGAGTTTTCCAGGCTGTTCCAGAAGCATTCTCTCATGACGTTTCACCCACATCTATGGCAGGCATCCTCAGAGGTTGTGAGGTCTGTTGGAAACGAGGCAAGTGGGGTTTATATATCTGGAAAGTCAGGGTGGAGTTTATGGTATAGATGGGGTTATTTTTTAATAGCAACTCTCAAGCAACCACAAACTCCCACTTATCCGGCACCTATCAATTCCTATGGGAGAAGAATGAATTTAGCTGTGACTGTAGAGTTTATGGTATAGATGGGGTTATTTTTTAATAGCAACTCTCAAGTAACCACAAACTCCCACTTATCCAGCACTTACCAATCTTTATGGGAGAAGAACGAATGCAGTTTGACTGCAGAGTTTATGCCATAGTGTGGGGTTAGTTTTAATAGCAACTCTCAAGTTACCAGAGACTCCCTCTTATATATATCTGTGGAATAATGTCCAGGGTGGATGTAAACACCACGGATACGGAGAGCCGACTACATTATCAGTTACTAATATTGGAATCATTTAAGCTGTTGCCCTTGCGATTTCTATGCATGCGTTTGAAAGCTGGGTTGCTGTGAGTTTTCCAGGCTTTTCCAGAAGCATTCTCTCATGATGTTTTGCCCACATCTATGGCAGGCTTCCTCAGAGGTTGTGAGGTCTGTTGGAAACTAGGCAAGTGAGGTTTATCTATCTGGAATGTCCAGGGTGGATGTAAACACCGCGAATACGGAGAGCTGACTACATTATCAATTACTGACTTCGGAACCATTTAAGCCATTGCCCTTACGATTTCTATGCATGAGTTTGAAAGCTGGGTTGCTGTGAGTTTTCCAGGCTGCATGTATGGTCATGTTCCAGAAGCATTCTCTCCTGACGTTTCACCCATATCTATGGCAGGCTTCCTCAGAGGTTGTGAGGTCTGTTGGAAATGAGGCAAGTGGGGTTTATATATATCTGTGGAATAATGTCCAGGGTGGATGTAAACACCGCGGATATGGAGAGCCGACTACATTATCAGTTACTAATATTGGAATCATTTAAGCCGTTGCCCTTGCGATTTCTATGCATGCATTTGAAAGCTGGGTTGCTGTGAGTTTTCCAGGCTGTTCCAGAAGCATTCTCTCATGACGTTTTGCCCACATCTATGGCAGGCATCCTCAGAGGTTGTGAGGTCTGTTGGAAACTAGGCAAGTGAGGTTTATCTATCTGGAATGTCCAGGGTGGATGTAAACACCGCGAATACGGAGAGCTGACTACATTATCAATTACTGACTTCGGAACCATTTAAGCCATTGCCCTTACGATTTTTATGCATGTGTTTGAAAGTTGGGTTGTTGTGAGTTTTCCAGGCTGCATGTATGGCTATGTTCCAGAAGCATTCTCTCCTGACGTTTCACCCACATATATGGCAGGCTTCCTCAGAGGTTGTGAGGTCTGTTGGAAACAAAGCAAGTGAGGTTTGTATATCTGTGGATGTAAACACTGCGAATACGGAGAGCCGACTACATTATCATTACTGACATCGGAATCGTTTAAGCCATTGCCCTTGCAATGTCTATGCATGTGTTTGAAAGCTGGGTTGCTATGAGTTTTCTAGGTTGCATGTTCCAGAAGCATTCTCTCCTGACGTTTCACCCACATCTATGGCAGGCTTCCTCAGAGGTTGTGAGGTCTGTTGGAAACGAGGCAAGTGGGGTTTATATCTGGAATGTCCAGGGTGGATGTAAACACCGCGAATACGGAGAGCTGACTACATTATCAATTACTGACTTCGGAACCATTTAAGCCATTGCCCTTACGATTTCTATGCATGAGTTTGAAAGCTGGGTTGCTGTGAGTTTTCTAGGTTGCATGTTCCAGAAGCATTCTCTCCTGACGTTTCACCCACATCTATGGCAGGCTTCCTCAGAGGTTGTGAGTTCTGTTGGAAACGAGGCAAGTGGGGTTTATATATATCTGTGGAATAATGTCCAGGGTGGATGTGAACACCGCGGATACGGAGAGCCAGGGTGGGAGAAAGAACTCTTCTCTTTGAGGCAAGTGTTGCAATTGGCCACCTTGATTAGCATTGAATGACCTTGCAGCTTGGCTGCTTCCTGTCTAGATTCTCCATCTATTGCTTTGAAGGCAACAGTAAGGCCCTCAATGAAAATGAGTTACAGTTATTTTGAATGTGTATTATGACTAATTGGACCAAAATTCTCCTCTTCCACCCTGGCGTTCGAACCATAAAGTGGTTTGAAAAGCAATCTGTAATCGATCTTGCCAAGACGTCTTTGGTCAGAGAAAACCCCCTATGTTGTCCTTTTGGCTGGCCTCCCATCTGGTTTCTGCTCTCTCTCTAGGTTCACAGAACTTCTGCCTCCATTCCAGCGCGTCATCCAGCCTGAAGAAATGTGGCTGTATAAAAACCCCTACATTGAGTCGGACCATGTGCCTGCCAAGCCCATGTTTGTGAGTAACAGCTCATTCCAGCCCTCTGCTATATATGTTTTGGGTTGACTTGCCACATACACCTTGAGTATCCCTTGGAACCAGAAGTATTGTTTGGGTGTTTGGATTTATTTCCCCAAGATTTTGAAATATTTCTATGCATTTATAGAATGAGATATTTTGGAGAGGGGACCCAAATCTAAATCCATATAATTGTGTCTAGTGTCTAGATCCAGGGAAGTAATGCTCCCCGTGCTCTATTCCGTTTTGGTTAGACCACACCTGGAATATTGTGTCCAATTCTGGGCACCACAATTCAAGAGAGATATTGACAAGCTGGAATGTGTCCAGAGGAGGGTGACTGAAAAATGATCAAGGGTCTGGAGAACAAGCCCTATGAGGAGCGGCTTAAGGAGCTGGGCATGTTTAGCCTGAAGAAGAGAAGGCTGAGAGGAGATATGGTAGCCATGTATAAATAGGTGAGAGGAAGCCACAGGGAGGAGGGAGCAAGCTTGTTTTCTGCTTCCTTGGAGACTAGGATGCGGAACAATGGCTTCAAACTACAAGAGAGGAGTTTCCATCTGAACATGACTGTGAGAGGCGTTCAACAGTGGAACTCTCTGCCCCGGAGTGTGGTGGAGGCTCCTTCTTTGGAAGCTTTTAAACAGAGGCTGGATGGCCATCTGTCAGGGGTGATTTGAATGCAATATTCCTGCTTTTTGGCAGAATGGGGTTGGACTGGATGGCCCATGAGGTCTCTTCCAACTCTTTGATTCTATGATTCTATGAAATAAAAATGTAATGTTTGTTTGTGGGATTAACATAACTCAAAACCCACAGGACGAATTGACACCAAATTTGGACACAATACACCTATCAGGCTAACGAATGACCATCACTCATAAAAACACTGAAAAACACAGTGGAGGGGACTTAAAAAGCCAAAAAACAAAAAATACATTGGGTCGTTGTAGGTTTTTTCGGGCTATATGGCCATGTTCTAGAGGCATTCTCTCCTGACGTTTCGCCTGCATCTATGGCAAACATCCTCAGAGGTAGTCAGGTCTGTTGGAAGTAGGAAAATGGGTTTATATATCTATGGAATAACCAGGGTGGGACAAAGAACTCTTGTCTGCTGGAGCCAAGTGTGAAGACCACCTTGATTAGCATTTGATGGCCTGGCATTTTTTTGGTGTGGCTTGTGGATTGTGGATTGCCTGGGGCAATCTTTTGTTGAGAGGTGATTAGCTATCCCTGATTGTTTCCTCTCTGTTGTTTTGCTGTTGTGATTTTAGAGTTTTTTTAATACTGGTAGCCATGTGCATGTGTTGTAATGTAAAAAATACATTACAACACATGCACAAAACCACATATATACACATAAATACACGTACACACATATACACATAAGACATAGGTGTATAACACACACACACACATATACACATAACGTAAACATACAAAACACATGTACACAGACTGGGCCACAGCAATGCGTGGTAGGGGATGGCTAGTCTATATACTGTATAAGCCTAGTTTTTCAGCCCTTTTTTAGGCTGAAAAAGTCTTCCCCAGCTTATACTTGAGTCAATGTTATTTATTATTTTACTTTGTTGTTGTTATTATTATTACATTTATTTTTTATTATTGTTATTATTACATTTATTATTTTACTCTATTTATTATTGTTATTGTTACATTTATTATTTTACTATATTATTATATTACTCTATTTCTTATTATTGGACATGTAAGCATATTTCTATTGAAGGTTAGAATAATGATTTAATCAGTCCTATCTTGAATTACAGTTTTATGTAAATATTCAAAAACATCTAACCTACTAATGCCTAAATTAATATAATTCTATTGGTATCTATTTTTATTTTGAAATTTACTAGTAGCAGCTGCATTTCCCACCCTCGGCTTATACTCGAGTCAATACATTTTCCCAGTTTTTTTGTGGTAAAACTAGATGCCTCGGCTTATATTCGGGTCGGCTTATACTCGAATATATACGGTAGATAAAAATGTAATGTTCGTTTGTGGGATTAGCATAACTCAAAAACCACTGGACAAATTGACACCAAATTTGGACACAAGACACCTATCAGGCTAACGAATGACCATCACTCATAAAAACATAGTGGAAGGGACTTAAAAGCCAAAAAAGATGCTACAATGCATGTGCAAAAACGACTCCCCCAGCAAAAAGGTAATATGAAGGTAATACGTTTTAAGACTGTTTGTCCACAAAATTTATTTAGTTGCATGGAATCACCAGCAAGGATGACCCTTGCAGGACATTCCAACTCTGGCTCATTGCTGTATTTTGGATGGAAAACTTCAAGGGGATTAGAGCTGACCCTGTTGCACTATATGAACACGGGAACTTGCCTCCTAATACCTAGTTGGATTATTTATTCATCTAGCCCACTACACACATTTGACATTATAAAGAATGCCTTTCCCCATCTGTCTCTTGCTGTGCTGCTAACTAATTCTGCCTCTTTCCTCTTGTCCTAGTTCATTTCCTTTTTGTCCCCCCTGGTCTTGATTCTTCTGGCCAAGTTCTTCCTGAATGCCGACCAAGAAGATACACGAGAAGCATGCTTAGGTAAGCTCAATATAAATAAAGTTTTTATTGGGTTGTTGTAGGTTTTTCCGGGCTGTGTGGCCATGTTCTAGAGGCATTTTCTCCTGACGTTTCGCCTGCACCTATGGCAAGCATCCTCAGAGGTAGTGAGGTCTGTTGGAAGTTGGAAAATGGGTTTATATATCTGTGGAATGACCAGGGTGGGACAAAGGACTCTTGTCTGCTGGAGCTAGGTGTGAATGTTTCAACTGACCACAAATATAATTGGTGGAGACTAGGCCTGTGCGGTTTCGTTCGTTAATTCGTTAATTCGTTAAACATTCATTAATTTTTGCATATACGAAACGATAACAAAACATATTTTCAAACCCGGAAGGGTTTTTAAATATCGAAACGGCAGGCGCCAAAAAATTTTGTATTTCCGTCCATTTCGGAAATACGTAAGATGGCCGCCTGGCTTGCTGGGAGCTCTCCTCTCTCCGCGCCGGCTGAGCAAGCGAGCGAGAGGGCGAGCGAGAGGGCGAGCGGCGAGCGAGAGGGCGAGCGGCGAGCGAGAGGGCGAGCGGCGAGCGAGAGGGCAAGGCGAGCGAGAGGGCGAGCGGCGAGCGAGAGGCGAGCGGCGAGCGAGAGGGCGAGCGGCGAGCGAGAGGGCGAGTGAGAGGGCGAGCGGCGAGCGAGAGGGCGAGCGGAGAGGGCGAGCGGCGAGCGAGAGGGCGAGCGAGAGGGCGAGCGGCGAGCGAGAGGGCGAGCGGCGAGCGAGAGGGCGAGTGAGAGGGCGAGCGGCGAGCGAGAGGGCGAGTGAGAGGGCGAAGCGGCGAGTGAGAGGGCGAGTGAGAGGGCGAGCGAGAGGGCGAGCGGCGAGTGAGAGGGCGAGCGGCGAGCGAGAGGGCGAGGGGCGAGCGAGAGGGCGAGCGGCGAGCGAGAGGGCGAGCGGCGAGCGAGAGGGCGAGCGGCAAGCGAGAGGGCGAGTGGAGAGGGCGAGCGAGAGGGCGAGCGGCGAGGGCGAGGGCAAGCGGCGAGCAAGAGGGCGAGCAAGAGGGCGAGCGAGAGGGCGAGCGAGAGGGCGAGAAGGCGAGCGGCGAGCGAGAGGGCCCGCCAGAGTGAGTGCCTGCCTTCCCTTAATTTCTCCTCCCTATTCTACTAAATTATTTAATAATTAAATTTAAAAAATATTTTAAAAATATTGGAAAAAAAAGGCCCCATCTTTACAAAATGTTTTGTTAATATTTACGAAATTTCGTAAATACCGAAACTTTTTTTTGGAAAGTTTTGTAATTATTTTAAATATCGAAACAAAAAAACACCCCAATTACAAATCGATTTTAGAAACAAATTTTTTCTTGATCAAACAGGCCTAGTGGAGACGTAGAAGAGAGAGACTTCTTTGGGTTACTGTTATTATGATGGCTACCTAGATAGAACCGTTTGGGGATCTTGCTTGCATTCAGATGAACACTGGGGACAAAACAAAGGCAACTAGTCTCCCAGCAATGAGAGGAATAACTTTGGTGCTCCTTGCTTGCTCTCTCCTTAGTATCATGATAATCTGCATGGATACTCAGCTAGGAATAGATCATTTTAAATCCAAATCGTCTCCTTCAAGATGGTTACCCATTCAGCTGTGTCATATAATTTATTTATTTTTGAATAATCTTTATTAAGTTTTCAGTATACATTTAAAATATAGATATGTGGCCACATCCACTAAGGGATGTGAGAACTAAAATATCACCGTGAGGAATGGTGGATAGTAGAAGGGAAAGGAGAATAGAAATAGAAGCGGGGGGGAAAACCCAGTAAAATAGTACAGTAATAGATATAGACTTAGAACCCATCACCAGGTTAAAAAGAAGTATAGAGAAATTTGTTTTTGACTTCCTGAGGTCTTCTAGTGGTCTGCTCTGCTAGTCTTCTCATCTTCTTTTCTTTCCCCTCTCTCCTCATATTCTTACGCTTCCTCTTCCTTCCCTCCTTCTCTTCCTTGATTAGATCAGAATCTTTTTTTCTTTTTGTTTAAAATATTCCAACACTTTTTCCCAATTCGTTTCCTTCATATTCATTCCTTTACTTCTTGATATTAAGAAAGTAAGTCTATTCATGTTTTTTATTTCTAAAATTTTCGTTAGCCTCTCGTTTTCATCCAGTATTTCCTTTTGTTTCCATCCCCTGGCATAGCAAATCCTTGCTGCCGTTGTTATTAGAAAAAGAATTTTGTCTGAGTTTTTATCTATTTTTAGCTCATGCATCCCTAATAAAAATAATTCTGCTTTCCATGGAATTTTGATTTTTAGAATCTCCTGTAATTCTTTCTGAACCTCTTTCCAGTATTCTTTTGCCATTTTGCAGGTCCACCATATATGAAAATATGACCCTTCTTTCTCCTTGCACTTCCAACACCTTGTACTGATACTCATGTTGCTTTTCCCTAATTTTTTCGGTGTCATATACCAGCGGTGCGCCGTCTTGAGCCAATTCTCCTGCAGATCTATTGCGTAGCTATATTTTAATTTTTCTCTCCAAATTTTCTCCTATTCTTCTTCCTTGATGTTTCTTCTGATATTTTCATTCCACCTCTTCTTATAGTTTTTATCTCCTTTAGGTTCCAACTTCCATTCTAACAGTTTTTTATATATATTTTCGTTATTAATTTCCTGTGTCATACAATTTAATACAAAATTAATTTGAGGATGGAAGAATGGCAAATACTTTGCGGATACTACCTATCTGGAGCATCATAGTATGTTTCATCATAGTATGGAAGCCAAAACCAAGGTTACAACAACATCTGTTATAGAACTCCAGTTTGCTAATGACCACGTCATCTGTGCGCATTCAGAAGAAGATCTACAAGCCACTCTAAACACCTTTGCAGAAGCATACGAGAAGCTCGGCCTGTCATTGAACATTGAAAAAACCAAGGTGCTCTTCCAGTAGTCACCAGCCAATCCCTCCCCAATGCCAGAGATACAGCTTAATGGTGTCACATTAGAAAATGTTGACCATTTCCACTCCCTTGGCAGCCACCTCTCCACCAAAGGCAACATCAACACCAAAATACAACACCGCCTGAGCTCTGCAAGTGCAGCATTTTTCCAAATGAAGCAGAGAGTGTTTGAAGACCGGGACATCCGTAGGGATACTAAGGTGCTTGTTTATAGAGCTATTGTCCTCCCAACCCTGCTAGATGCCTGTGAGACGTGGACAGTCTACAGACGTCACATGTAACTCCTGGAACGATTCCATCAGCGCTGCCTCCGGAAAATCCTGCAAATCTCTTGGGAAGACAGGCGGACAAACGTCAGCGTGCTGGAAGAAGCAAAGACCACCAGCATTGAAGCGATGGTCCTCTGCCATCAACTCCGCTGGACCGGCCACATTGTCCGGATGCCCAACCACCGCCTCCCAAAGCAGTTGCTCTACTCCGAACTCAAGAACGGAAAACGGAATGTTTTGGCCTTCAACTCCCAGAAATCCTAACAGCTGGTAAACTGGCTAGGATTTCTGGGAGTTGTAGGCCAAAACATCTGGGGACCCACAGGTTGAGAACCACTGCTCTACTCCAAACTCAAGAATGGAAAACGGAATGATGGAGGAGAGGAAAAGTGATTGAAAGATGGGCTCAAAGCCAACCCTAAAAACTCTGGCATAGACACTGAGAACTGGGAAGCCCTGGCCCTTGAGCGCTTCAGCTGGAGGTCAGCTGTGACCAGCAGTGCTGTAGAATTGAGGGCGAAAGAGAGAAACGTGCCAAGAGGAAGGTGTGTCAAGTCAACCCCGACTGAGACCGCCTTCCACCTCCACAGCCACCTACGGATCCACAAGAATACTGATCCTGGAAGACTATCCTACTCGGCCAACGAGGGATCGCCTAAGTAAGTAAGTAAGTAAGTATGTTTCATGCTGCATGTATTAAAAGATGGGCACAGATGTCCATCCTGGTGGTGGCTGCAAAATGTGGTGTCCTCTGTTGGCTCTGCTAGCTGGGTTGATGGTGGTGGAGTTCAGCTATACTCATTTGAATTTGGGAGCAAAGTAGGGTTAGCTATGGTTAGTATTTGGATGGGAGAAGAGCTCAAGAGTGTCCCCTTCTTAAGAATATCCTTCCAACACTCATGGGTTGACGTCATTTTTCATTTTCTCCCCACAGGTGCCAGCCTGGCTCTTACCCTGAATGGTGTCTTCACCAATGCTGTGAAGCTGGCCGTGGGAAGGTGAGACCTACTCAACCTTGTTCTGATATTTCTACAGGGATGGCTTATGCTCCTATTCTCACTTCTAGTTGCAAGGACTTAGGCCAGATCCTCCCCAGGTAGTGATGTTATCCTAAGGTGGAGTGGGCCCACTCCAGGTTCACCCCATGTCCAATATCCCTAGGCCATCAAGTTCGCTGGACTGGCCACGTAGTCCAA